GTGTAATCAGACTCGGATTATTCACACTTGTCTTGCATGCGAACAGCGATACAGCAAACTGGCGACATGCGGCCACACAGTACTCAAAGATATCGTAACCGGATAAGAGTTCTCTTCAGCTGGCTATGGCGGCTCTGCGCCCACACAACTCACTGTTCGCACTCTGGATCACCCTGGATGTCCCACACGCAACACTCAGTGCTCATATGCAACACACACACACACTGTACTACAGCTATGGCAGCGCTAGCTGCCACTACCCTATCGCTATACTACACTTCACTGCCCACTTCGACTTCGGGCGCACTGCAGACCTCCTCGCACAAGCTGCTGAGGCAGCGCTTCCGCATGGCATCCGCAGGAATGAATGAATGGCTGGACGCAGCCTCTTGATTTATACTTCTGTGCGGCGTTGGTCTGCCCTGTATCCCTTGGCCCACGATGTGCACAGTCCCAGACGGTACTTGCTTGACTGGACCGGACTGGGCTACCTGGGACTGCTGACTCTGCGTAGTGGACCTATACCACTTGCCCACTTGCCTMGGCCTAAACAGGGGCTGACTCCGAAAGGCCAGTTCTAGAAACCTCWMCTTGGCCTTTCGGTACTGTAGCAGCTACGACTTTGCCCTTTCAGGTAARKAGCAGCTACGACCTTGACMCTTCAGACATCCTACAGCTATGACTTCGGAACTGTCTAGACTCTTACCCTACAAGTCTACAGTTCGATTCCCTTCTAAGCTGTGACCTACGAAAACCTGCCTACCACTGGCGGTCCTACAGGTCGCGGGTTCAAGCCTACGGGTTGAGGAACTAGGGATCGAGCCCTGGGATCTGCATTCGCTACTGCGAACTGGTGAATACCGTTTCATTTGGGCCCACCGGAGCAAAAAGGTTGGCAGTGGCAGGTGGGCCCTAGCCCTATGATGGTTGTTTTTTCTTTTTTCTTTTGGCCTACTGGACCAAAAAGGCTGGCAGTGCCAGGTAGGGCCCTTGCCCCATGATGGTTCTGTTATCCACAGGGCAGGGAAATTCAAGTGTTGGGGAGAGAAAGAGGCTCAGAGATTCTGGTGGTTCAAGGGTCTCTAAACAAAAATAGGCGTCATCCCCTCAATGCCTACCACCCTCTTTTTTCCACTATAAGTTCCCCCTTTGTCCCTCAATTCCCTGCCCCACAAATAGCATGTGGCCTCACTTACAATACTAGTACCCCTGCTTGTCCCTTTTGGCTAGTACGGAGTATGTTGCATTGCCAAGCGAATGCAAGTAACTCCATGCTCGCTTTAGTTGCCGACCCTCTTCCCCTGAATACAACGGTCCATCACCATGACTGTTTCAGCATCGCCTGGACGGCTTTTTTGACACATCCCCATGATTATGGGGCACATTCTGTTTGAGGGAAAAAATAATGGTAGGGTGGCGAGTCCTGGCGACCAATTTCTGACCTGATTTTCAATAGGGACTCGTCAGATCAGTAGAAGATGTGCAGGTCGGTACCACCTGGATGAAGCCCATGGTGACAACATTGGTCACTCCATCCCTACGGTCTTCAGCCGAATAGAACGCCCAGTCATTATAGCTGTATTTTATGGGACCCAAATTTCGTTTTGTTAGTCTGATTGCCCTTTTGATTTAGTCATCCGCCTCCGAATTGAAAAGGCTGAGCCATCTGCTTTTGATCACTGAATCGAGATCCCCTTGTTGCCTTATGCACTGCTACTACTACCACTACTACTACTGCTACTACTGTTGCCTTAATGCACTGCTGCTACTACTACTACTACAACTACCACTACTACTACTAATACTCCTGTTGCCTTAATGCACTGCTACTACTACTACACCTACCACTACTACTACTACTACTTCTGCCTTAATGCACTGCTACTACTACTACAACTACCACTACTACCACTACTACTACTACTACTGTTGCCTTAATGCACTGCTACTACTACTACCACNTACTACCACAACTACTACTATTACTACTACTGTTGCCTTAATGCACTGCTACTACTACTACAACTACCACTACTACCACTACTACTACTACTACTACTGTTGCCTCAATGCACTGCTGCTACTACTACAACTACCACCACCACTACTACTACTGTTGCCTTAATGCACTGCTGTTACTACTACAACTACCACTACTGCTACTGCTACTGCTACTACTACTACTACTACTACTACTATTGCTCACTGGATATCAGGTACTTCTCAACAAGGAGCTCATAGTCTGAAGACTCCGAACTTCGCGTACAAATTTGTTGAGAAGTACCTGATATCCAGTGAGCAATACTACTAATGGGCCTAAACCCGGAACCATCTCTTGGTGAGAGGCTTGGTCACTGAGGATTTTGCATTGCACCTCTCTCTCTCTCTCTCTCTCTCTCTCTCTCTCTCTCTCTCTCTCTCTCTCTCTCTCTCTCTCTCTGTGCACACACATGGGCCTACTGCCGTTATTGCCAGGGGTCTGAACTCGACAGTCTGCTAGGATTGCAGGGTTGGTGTGAGCAAAGTTGACCAGATTTGTCAAGGGTATCATTACCTTGTGTGATGTGGCCACTCCTCCACCATTAGCCAAATGCATCCCTGAGCAGATTGTTGGGGTTTAACTTCTTACCAAGTCGGTGAAACTCCGATGAAAAGAAGTTATGAAACAGTCTGCGGCAGTCACCCCCTTTCTTTGTGGGGTCGTATTTGCTATTTAGCTAGTATAAAACACACCACTGCCTTCTGAGAAATTCCAGACGTCATTCACCCGAAGACGGGAAGACTCATTCCCTCACTCGAACAGTAAATGGGATCCGCTTAAAATTGTTTTTCTTCAGCAGTTGCAAGTTCCAGTTTAACATCAACGAATCCATTAGTTTATCGGCGATAAACATCAGCACATCAATGGCTTCTTCACGACTTTCGCGATTCTACGTACTTGAAGAGAGTACCGAATCCGTCAGGAAAACTGAAGTGGTGGTTCTGATAGCATGAACAATTCCAAGTTGACATCGTAGTGGCTTACCGTAAACAAATCCATCAGTTGATCCACTGTAAATGAAGGATTGCGCAGTGGTGGCAATAGGCGAAAAATAGGCCCGGATGAGAGTCTGAAGCACTCTGTGCCCTTTGTACCTGCAGCACAGAAACGGAGCATCAACTCGTCAAAGTCAAAAAACCGATCAGAAAGTTGTGGGGGTTAGACCACCAGTACCCTACTCAGTTATAACTTTTGCACCTCCTGAATTCAAAGGGGTCTAGGGCAGGGTCGGCCGAGGCAAGGTAGAGGGTTGGGTGAGGGTCATTTTGAAACTGGGGAGGCAACAAAACAAAAACAGAAAGGTGATATAAAAACAGGACAAGGCAACCAAAAAACAAAACAAAAAAAAGGCAAGGTGGCAAAAACGAAAAGGCGACGGAACGAAAAGCAAAGAGAGAACAAAAAGGAAAAGGCGATAAAAAGAAATGATAAGTTGCCAAAACAAGGCAGCAAAAAAGGAAAAGGCTGCAAAACAGAAGAACAAGAACGCGAAAACAGCACAATGAACACCGTCCCCTGCCAGTCCTGACTGTGGAAAGTGCATTTTAACAGTCGCTGCCTCCACAAATTTGCAGGAAGCTCCTGCCCCGTCCTCATGTCCTTATACACACACAACTCCTTGTTCTGTATGTCTACTGCACCTCCTCGTCCGCTGCCTAGAGCTCCCTCGTCTGTTTGTGCGGCATCTTGATGGGGTCACCCAAACTGGGAGTTCAAAAGTGCCTGCGCACGACTCTCTCCACGTGGGACACCCTACGACCTCCTGACCTCCACCTGCCTCCACACACCCCGCCCCTGTCACCTCACGCCCACTGCACAACCCTTCCCAAACCTCCAGAACCCTCCTATTCGCTCGCGTTCTACTGTAGAATGTGTGTTGAATGCATGAGTGTTGTGGTAGAACACGAGTTCTATTAAAACAGCGTGCATTCGACAATGGGCCGTACCGGTCGTCCACATGTCATACCATGTCTTGCCGTCGTCGACCGCTATTGCTACGCTGCTGGGCCGATTCATCACTCCGCGTGGCCGCATTGGGGCGTGCTACGCKCTMYMYCTCTCTCTCTCTCTCTCTCTCTCTCTCTCTCTCTCTCTCTCTCTCTCTCTCTCTCTCTCTCTCTCTCTCKCAAAGCCCATAAGAATCAATKACAGTGCGAGTTYGCAATGGCCTTTAAACGGGCATCGGCCTTTAAACGCCTCTCTCTCTCTCTCTCTCTCTCTCTCTCTCTCTCTCTCTCTCTCTCTCTCTCTCAGGCCATAAGAAGCAAGAACAGTGCGAGTTTGCAATGGCCTGTAAACGGGCATCGTCCTTTAAACGCCTGTTTAAGCCAGGGCCTGCATTGCACCGCAAAGGGCCTGGTGAAAATTTTTGGAACCACATGCAGTTTTTTTTTGGTTTTTTTTTTTAAATAAAAAAGGCAAAACACAAGTGCACCTACCTAACTACACCCTGCACCCCCCCCCCTCCTCCAGACCCCAGTATCACCCCCCCCCATCAGGGGGCTGTTCTATGTGTTCCACTCCCGGTGTACCAAAGAACGCAGACCGCACATTCCTTATCCTCTCCTATAGGTTCTGATCACGGTAACGACATCGCTTCAGTTATGTCCTTAATTCACATTCCACCATCCATTCTCGTTCTTCATCATTCCGGATGTGACTGATCTTTTTTTTTTTTTTTTTTTTGGTGTAACACTGTAACAGCCCCAGAGACAGCTTGAGGGGCTGGTAGGAGCAGACACATCAAGCTGGCGTTGGGGAGGCTCCATCTATTGGTGGGGAGCTGCACGTGCTGGGAAGCGGACCCAGAGTCCCAATTACAAACATTACAGATGTTGGCTGACCCATGACAGCCATTGACTGTGTTAGCGTTCACGGCTGGTTGTCCCTTACCTCTGGGTTCCCGAAGCGTGGTTGTCTCGAGACTTCTTCTTTTGAGCTGGGTTTGCGTATTTTCTCTGGGAGGATTTCCCTCCATACTCTGAGCAGCTCTGTCCAGTAGGGTAGGGGAGATTCTTCCTCCTCTGAGGGGGACCCTCTTCGTCATCCTTTGTGTCTCGTCTTTGGGCTCCATTCTTTGTTCGTGACCAAGAATAGCCCGGACATATTTGTTTGACTTTCAATGAGGGCAAGGGATTGGACGCTGTCTAACGCCATTTTGTTCCAAACGAATGACTGATTGGTTAAAATCTTGACCACCCATTTTGCTTGAAGTGCTTTTAGTTCCCAGTCTTGGGTCCAAGACTCCTACGCCCCCTTCCCCCATGGAAACCGCTGAAATGACTTGGCTGATACTTCTGAAAGTGGTTTCAGCTGCAGCCATCTTTGATGCTTGGATGGGGGCAGTTGACACCGCTTTCAGGAGGTTCAGCCACTTCAAGTCATTTCCGCAGTTTCAGGTGGGAGACCTGAAACCGCTGAAATGACCTGAGGTGGTCGAAGCTTCTGAAACCGCTTTCAGGTCCCCCCCATCCAACCACCCATCACCAGTCTTAAATTGCGGCAAGGACCTGAAGAGGTTGAACCTTCTGAAACCGCTTTCAGCTGCCCCCACCCAACCATTAATCATCATTCTGAAACGGCTGAAATGACCTGAAGTGGCTGAAACTTCTAAGAGTGTTTTCAGCTGTACCTACCTCGGATGCTTGGATGGGGGCAGCTGATTTGTGGGGATTCCAGCAGGAATCGGAGTGTCTCGTGGTCGACGAGGTGTCTGTTCGACTGTGTTGGGGTCTTGCCTGCATTTTGTGATTTGGCCTCTACGACCGAGGAGAAGCAACATTGGAAGGGCACTGTCGTGGCAATGTCTCCCAGAGGTTGTGACGGCGGGGTGCGGTCGGGGTAGGGAGGGGGAAAGGCGGGGGGGATG